GCGGCACCCGGGCCCGGCGCCCTGGAGCCCCGGCTGCCCTCGGGGCTGCTGCCGGCCTCTGGCAGCCGTGTCCTTGGGCTGAGTCAGGATGCGGCAAGGGCTGGGGCTGAGCCCTGCCGGGGCGGGAGGCCGTGTGGCCCCAGGGCTGGCAGCGCCGCTAGCAGGGAGCTGTGCTGCCAGGGCCCTGACAGGCTCTATGTTCCCAGGGATGGCCCGGATGTTCATGAACAAGGGCGCACAAGGAAGAGCTGCAGACCCTCAGTGAGGGTGAGTGAGAGCAGCGGGCTGGCACTGGGGGCTGGCAGGGGGCAGTTGCAATGCCTGGGATGGGAGCTGCAATCCCTGGCCCAGCTGCAGAGTGCTTCGTTCCCTGTCTGGGTGAGGGCAGTGTGGGCAGAGAGCAGAGAGATTTCAGGGACAGGGGTGGGAGTTGTGGCCAGCACCTTCTGGCTGATCCTTTTGTCTAGTTCTCTCTTGTGGCCATTGCAAGAGCCAGGTGGAATGTCCTTGGCAGGAATGTCTCCTAGGATCCCTGCAGATGCATGCCCTGACCGTGCCTCTTGTCCTCTCTCTTCCAGCCACTGAAGCCCCGACAAAGACACCACTCCATCCCACAGGAATCTGAATATGCAAGCTTAGTTTGCCAGTGAACAAGTGTCCCAAGAACAGCAGCAGGAGACACTGAAGAGGACACCACCTCCCAGTGCCACTGGAGATCCAGGCACAGCTGACAACTGGCACAGCTGAGCCTGTGGGATTTTCACGGGGCTTCAGCCCTCTCCCAGCCTGTAGATAGCTCCCTCCAGCCCTCAGACTGTGCCCATCCCCTTTTTTCCCTCTATTCTTCCTCCCTTTTGACAGCTCCTTACCTCCAGCCCTCAGTCCATGCCCATCCCCTTCTTTCCCTTTCCAGCTCATCCCTTTGCTTCACCTTGCATTAATAAACAGTTTGCCTTTTTCACTTAACCTGCATCTGTCTGGAGTTGAAGGGACACAAATCCAGAGCACTGTGACACACAGGCCCCTCCTGCCGTTCTCTCCTGCACCGTGTTTTGTGCAGAGACGCAGAGGAAGGAGCGCAGATCAGGCTGGAAAGGTCCCTGTGCTGAAGGCCCGGCTCCACAGCATTGTGGAGTTCAAGGTGTCACTGAAGGCCAGTAGTGGGACAAGGAGCCTGGGTGTGTCAGGGACCAAAGATGTGTCTAAGGCCCTGCTGTGTTCTGTCCTCTGTTGTGCACGTCAACAGGATGGCGAAGAACAGACTTTGAAGGAAACCTTATGGGTTAACTGCTGGGAATTTGACCCTTAAGAGGAACAATGGATTGATCAATTGATGGGAAGTTAACCTGTGAAAGAGGAACAGTATCAATGAGGCTGTTATTGGCATGGTGACCTTACCTCATGTACTGGCCAAGGGTGAGATGACATGGTGACTGGGAAAATTCCACTCCAGGGGAGAAGATAGGAGGCTTGGTTCTGCAGAGGAGAGGCAAGAAGGACAAAATGCACGCCTTTTGATGCAGGGCATGTCCTGAAGGTGCATGGCCTGCCTGCCCCTCCCATTGGAACACCATGCTCCATCTCCTGCCGCTGCCCAGTGGCTTTTCAGCAATCCAGGGGTTGGTAGGTTTTATTTGCAACAGCAACTAATAAAATAAGAGTTGCTTTGCAATTTTGTGCACGGGCATCTTCCAGCACCCATGATGTTCTTGGCAATGAGGATGGGATGCCCAGAGCACAAAAACCCATGGTGTTTGGAGCACGTGTGAGTGAAAAATGGACACATGTTTGAGTGTGGGTAAGAGAAGAGGGACAGGGTTTGGGCAGTGGAGCGTATGGTTGTGTAATATATGTTGGGATAATTTGTGTTTTATTGTACACATAGAAAATCAAGTATAAAAGCATGTTTTATGTAAAACAAAAACCACAAGCAACTTAAGATTGCAAAAGCAGCTGCTGGAAATCCAGGAATTTGCAAGAGAATGACCCAGAAATTAAGATAATACTTATCTTATCATAAGAGATAATGAGAAGAGCTGGGCCAGCCCAAGCAAAATAAGTGCTCTAAGGACCTGGTGATTAACGCCTGATACCGACCTGATGTGATTCTCCAGGACCATACATCTCTGTGTCGGTTTCCCAAAAAAAACTACACAGACTAAAAAAAAAGCTCACCACGATTCTACATCTCAAAGCCTTCTTCCTGAAAAACCACTCAAACATCATCTCCTTCTCAGAAAACTCATCAGCAGTCCAGCAGCAGAAATAGGAATATGTAACAACACAAGAAAAAGAAAGAAACTGAAACTGCATAGCCTCAAGCTGAAAAAACCTGTATAAAACACCGCTCTCCCAAAGACAAGTTGTGAACTTGTGGGAATCAGTGTGGCACAGGCTGATTCAGAGTTCACCCATTGCCGATCCCGGGTTCGACGCTGACAGTGATTGTGGTTGTTTCCATAATTCGATTTTACAGATTTTTCAATAAAATCCTTATTGATAAAATGAGGCTGAATTTCATTTGTAACATTCTGAAATGGGAGAGGCTTGGAACCAGGAGAGGCTTGAGTGGCAGAGCCAGTAATGTGCGTAGCATGAGACATAAATTGCGTGTGTGTGCGTGCCCTGAAAGGCCAGAGGAAGTGCGTGTTTGAGACGTGCTATCAGCACAGGGCGAGTGGGGAATCCCAATCTGTGGATTCGCTCTGGGCGACTGCAAGCAGCTAGAAAAGGACAGGGTGATTGGGGTGTGTGTTTGATTGTATGAAACCCCTTTAATAAAATCTCCCCGTCTCCCCGTGGTTGGGTTGTGATAAGCATTTTTGAGGAGATGCCACCATCTAGTGACAGGAGTTAAACTGCTGACTGTTACCATTTCTTGATTAAGCTTACATGCCTAGGAATCAGGGGCATTGGAGAGCCAGGGAGAAAGAATTTCTCTGTTTAAAGAAAGGTTGTGATTGTAACCCTTGGATTGTGTTTTGCTGTGTAGTCTGTCAAGAGCCTTGGCTCCGACGGGTATTTAGGTGGAGGATCCCCAAGTGGGCACTGTTTTCTTTGTAGCACAAAAGAGAATAAAGAAAATAAAGCCACCCAGATAGCGATAAAAATCTTACTAGGAACTGGTAAAGTAACCCATGGCAGCAGTGAGATATTTGAGTTATTAGAGAATGGAATTTTGGGGACCCTAAAGAAACTAATTGACATTCTTGGGGTTGAGTGTGCTCAAGATAATTGGGCACCTGAATATTACGAAGTGAAACTCCAAAGTTGGGATAAAGAAACATTGTGAGAAAAAGAACTTCCAGGATGGGAGCAAATGAGAGTAAAGGAATTCCTAGGAGTAGTCCTTTGGGATGGCTTTTAACACATTGGAAAGAACTAGTGGGATATGTGATGCAGAAAGCAAGAGGGAGCTTGTTAAGTTCTGTACACAATGGTGGCCACTATATAGACTGGATGGTTTTAAAGGTAGCTAAAGACCTAGCTGAGGATGATTGTAGGACAACACAGGAGGATGTTAAGGATGTATTTCCCCTTCAAGATCCTGGCTGGAATCCCAATGAACAAGGGGGACTAAGACAGTTACAAAGATATCAGAAATTAACAGTAAAAGGGCTGGAAAGAGCAATTCCCAGAACTATCAATTAATCAGCTCTATATGCTATTAAACAAAGTCCTTCTCAAACACCTTCTGAATTTTTAGATCAACTGCGCGATGCAATGTGGAAACATACCAGCCTGGACCCAGGACGGAGTGAAGGAATGCAGTAGCTAATAAATTTGTTTTTAGGACAATCCACAGAAGACATCAGGAGGAAGCTCCAGAAGATCGGAGTCCCAGAGAGCCAGAATCTGGAAACCCTGGTGGATGAAGCCTGGAGGGTCTTTAGCAATTGAGAAGAAGGATATAAACAGGGGATGAGAAAATTGGTGGCATTAGTGAAGGAGGGGGAGAAAGAAAAATGTCAGCAAGGTCCACCAAAACGAGGACCACCCCAACTGGGAAGGGATCAATGTGCATTTTGCAAGAGATTTGGACACTGGAAAAATCAGTGTCCAGAAGTAAGAAAAGGAGATGAGCAGAGGAGAGATGATCGGAAAGGAAAGGGGGAGGTTGCTCATGTAAAAGAAGACTGAAGAGGACCGGAGTGCCCTACCCCAGGTGACCCTCTGGTTATAGCTCCCAATCGAGGGAATAAAGAAAAAGAAGTGGGATTTCTAAGAGATACAGGAGCAACATTTTCAGTGTTGAATAAGGTTCTAATACCTGTGATAGTAAAAGGTTTTAAAATCTTAGAAAGTTCAGGGACTTGGAAAGAAAGTTAGGTTTGGCAAGCCCTGGGAAAAGTAGGCCCTGGAAATGTTAGGCCTTGTGCTTGCTAAAGATCATGTCAAACTGCACCAGTGTAATCAATATATGAAAAATGATACAATTGTTAGATGTGATTCAAAATAATTATTGTTTATAGAACAAGAGGAACAATGTTAGGAGGCTGGGGAGAATCACAAGAAATCCATGCCTGGGTAAAAACAATGCATGCAATAGAACAATGGAAGTTTAATAATTAAGATGTAAGTTATATAATGATAGAGTATAAAACATGTTAATTTCAAAACCAAGTCGGGTCAGCTTTGGGTATGTGTACCCCTGACACCCAGAGCTCTTCAATAAAGCACCTTCATATAATCATTCCGTTATTATGTGTGTTCCTGAACCCTAACACTTGTAACAAAAGATTATGTGATGGTAAGGGGGACAACTGGTCAATCTGAAAAAGCATATTTTTGTAAACCTTTGAATTATAAATTGGGAAAACAATGGGCAATTCATCAGTTTCTATATATGCCAAATGCTCCATCTACCATCTTAGGCAGAGATTTGTTGAAGCAGTTGGAAGCCAGAATAGTTTTTCAAAATGGAGAAATTAGCTTGGAGGTAAAAGACCGACAGTATGTGGGATTGCTAAGTTTAATGCTAATAACCAAAGGAATTAAAGGGGATAATGAAGAGGAAAATTTTAGAAAAATAATGGATGAAGTATTTCCTGGGGTATGGGCTTCTAATGTACCAGGAAGAGCAAAGAACGCACCACCGGTCCAAATTAAGTTGAAAGAGAAAATATATCCAGTGAGGGTCAAACAATATCCCCTGAGGATGGAGGATAAAGAAGGAACTAGCCCAATTATTGAAACCTTTTCACAAATAGGGCTATTGAAGGAGTGTCAATCTGATTTTAACACTCCTATTCTGCCAGTGAAGAAGAAGCCAGATGGGTTGTACAGGTTAGTACAAGATTGGAGGGCTGTTAACAAGATAACTGAGGATCTGTATCCGGTGCTTGCCAATCCCTATACCTTGTTAACCCATTTCACATCTGAATTATCCTGGTTTATGATTCGATTTAAAGGATGCGTTCTTTTGCCTCCCTCTCTATGAAGCCAGCCAGAAAATTTTTGCATTTGAATGAGAAAACCCCAAGACTGGGTGAAAAACTCAGCTCACATGGACAGTGCTGCCACAAGGGTACAAGAATTCCCCTACTATTTTTGGAGGTCGCCTCGCGAATGGGACCCCCCATTGGGAGAAGGACAGCTACTCCAGGACGTGGACAATCTCTTAATAGCCACCAGGAGCCAAGAGGCATGTGTGGACTGGACAGTAAGCCTTCTGAATTTCTTGGTCCAGCAAGGGTATGGAGTATCCCAGAAGAAAGCCCAAATGGTAAAACAAAGAGTTATTTATCTCGGATATGAAGTGAGTGCTGGACAAAGACCTTTGGGGCAAGATGGCAAAGAAGCAATATGCCAAACCCCGAAGCCCCAGATGGTGAAGGAATTGAGAACCTTTTTTGGTATGACAGGGTGGTGCAGGCTGTGGATTTATAACTATGGGTTGCTTGTTAAACCTCTGTATGCTTTGATTACGGAGGGGGTCAAGGATCTTCAATGGACAAAAGAAACAA